AGACCTAAGTGCCCTTCCACCCAAGCGCTGTTACTACTTGTGTCCATCATCTTTCTGTCAAATGTATTATTCTCCTACATCTTAGCACTACACTGGGTCGAGTCCTTATACTGTTAAGACCACAATATCAAATAAAATTTGTAATATTATTGTAAGTCCACAATAATGGGCGGGTTCTGTTATTTAAGTAACATGGATAATTGGATTGATGTCGATTATTGATATAAATCTGAAAAACTAATCAACTGGAAGTCGGGGGATGATGGTGAGTCACATGTCATGTAAACATAGTATTCCGTGTCGTACATTTCTACATATTCACTGGTTATATAAACCAATTTAATGAACTGTTTTTAAACTGTTTTCAATTCAACTCTCAAAGTTTCATTCTGCAAGAGTTCTAACTTTGTCTCATTTTGAACTGCACTAGATTGTAAACCCAGCTTACATACGCTAAGCTAAATTAGCTGAACACGGGTTGAAAATATTCTTCACAGTGGTTTATTGACAAAGTTTTTGGTTTAAAGCTACTTAAGAAGTTTTAAAGATGTACATCTCATAGTTTATCATATAACTCTCAAGTTTTAAACATATCTATTTATTCCAGCCTATATATTTACAAATTAACAATAAGTGGAAAACTGAGGTTCATTCAAACAACGGTAACTGCAAGAAACTGTAAACTTGACGAAGTGAGACTGAGAAAAAAGTAAAGCATTTATGGTGATTCAAAGTAATGATTTATGTGACAATCTATCATGAAGTCGACATTACTGTATAACCAGTTTACGAGTTAATGAGGTTTGATTTTGCCCAATTTCACTTTGCAAAGGGCTAAAGTACGGACGGCTTGGATTAGTAGTGGGACTTGATATATTTCAGCTAATCAGTATTTTTTCGAATGACCCGTCAGATATAGTCTGAATCACGTTTCGAGGTAGTAATTTCAATTTATGAAGAAAAACAAGATTTGTTAAATAACTACATTCAGTATTAACATCAACTGTACAAGTAAACGAACTACCGAACATTTGTTTATTCGCCGTTTTGTTTATGCGTGCTGACGTTCATCTTCTTACACTTATACTAATATGAAGCTACGGTCAATGTTCTGTACATCCTTTCTGGCTGCCATCTTGTTTTGGCTGCTCTGAATTGTCATTCATTCGCCGGTATATCTTGGTAATTTTTTAATTCCACGAAGTAACCAACAACAACTCCATTTTCATCACCCCGTCCTGAAACCGCAAAATCGTGTATTTAGGACAGATGACAGACTCTTTCGAGGTGAAGACCGGTTGTAGGATTTAATTTGTCCTACAGATTAGAAAGCTACAGTTAAAACACGATCAACTTTGCTTTAAACTTTATCTGTTTCTAAACATAAAAAACAATTACATTAGTACAATAAATGAGGAAATTACAATTGTCAAGTAAGACGAGCAAACTTACCGACCAATATAGCGTGTCGTATGCAAACGAGTACAGTTATGAGCACCCTTTGTCTTTCTCCTGGTGATCAACTGAATCATGAAGAAGCGAATATCTGGAGGGAAGCACGGTATATATTGGATAGCCAGGATGCAGCTGAACGGTCTGGACTTCACTCACGATCCAGCTCTTCTATCGTACACGCAACAAGAGCCGACCAGTGTAGCTGCAGCCTCTGCAGCAGCTAGTCTCAACAAACACGAAGGGAAAGCAAGATTCTGCGATACAACACAACATGCACCAAGCAAATTACTTTTCATGGAGATGCCTTGAAGGACGTAGAATGCCTTATATATTTGGGCAGCATCATTGACGAGCGACGTGGATCTGATGCTGATGAGAAGGCGCTGACCGGCAAAGCAACGACAGCATTTCTACAACTGAACATTATCTGGAATTTCAATCAGCTGTCAACCAACACCAAAGTCAGAATTTTCAATACAAATGTCGAGACATTTTTACTGTATGGATCGGAAACTCGAAGAACTATCAAGGCCATCATCAAGAAGATAAAAGTATTCATCAGCAGTTTTCTACGCAAAATACTTCGATCCGTTGGCCAGACACCATCAGCAACAACATAGTGTGGGAGAGAACAAACCAGATTCCAGTGGAAGAGGAAGTCAGAAAGAAGAAGGGGAAGTGGATCGGACACAGACTGCGGAAGGCACCCAACTGCATCACAAAGCGAGACTCACTTGAAATCCTCAAGGCAAAAGGAAAAGATGAAGTTGAAGGAACAAATTACCCCGTGAAATGGAGACAGACATGAGAAGAACGAAAAAAATTAGATAGAGCTGGAAAGTTAAGCCCAGAACGGAGTTGGTTCCAGAATATTGGTCGTCAGCCTATGTTCAACTGGAGGTAACAGGCGTAAGTAATTAAATAAGTAATCCTGTCCTCGTTCTTCCAATGAACGTTTTGAGATAACGTTCGAGATGTGGATTCAAGTCCTATATCGACAAGTTCATAGTCCCGCGACTCAAACATCTATAAGTCTATGATGAAGGATCAGTGTTTAAAAAGTCATTAGTGTTTGAGCATCGACGTGACTTAAGGTTTTAGGTGTCAACCAAAACCTTTCGCGCCTAACTTCCAGAAATTTCCACAGCTTTTCAAGTATTGCCTAACGATAACTTCCAAGTCTGTCTGGATAATACTTCACTCGACGTTAGTCACAGTTCATGAATCTGTTTGACTAATGTGAAACATGATACACTTGGAACCATTTATCAGCAGCTGCCGAATTCTATATGATGTAGCTAGTTTCTGCAAATCATTTTGAAATCCTTCATCCTTGTTTTAGTTTTTTAATCGTTCTTATCGTACTATGGTCAAGAGAGCAAAAGACTGATGATATAGGAGTAGAACGGCTGTTTACATACAGGAGAGATAATACTGGCTGCGAAAATGTGCTCTGTAGTACTTCATTCAGTACAGTTTTCCAACGAAACTAGTTGGAATTAACATCATAGTTTTTGTTAACGTCCAACTAGGAAATCCTTTGCTCGGAAGGGCGAGTTACCTTCGTCCCCGACATCATTTAGCTATGATAGCAGCAGGAAGTGCGAAACCAAGTAACAAGATTTACTAAGGTCAATGAAGGCTACATCTATGGGTGCAACAAACTTAGGCGGCTACTGACGGGTTTGTGAAACAACTAGGTCTTTTCCGAGAGTAACAATACCTTGGGCGCTACTTGAAATGAGATGAGAACAGCAGTTTTTGAAGTGTGACTAACGGACAAACCTGTAGGTTTGATTCAGAAAGGAACAAATTACTGCGTTTCTTAAAATTCCAGCATTTTGTTTATTTATTTATTTAGCAGGACTCAGATACCCATCTAAAACTACTGAAAATACTGTATACCGTAGACCTCTTTAGCAGTGATAAACACTGAGTATTATTGTCACTGTTTCTTCTCCCTTGCTTACACTTTGTTCCTCTCTCACAATCTTCACTACCAATTAATAAACGAAAATATCTTAGTTCTGAAATCCCCTTGTTAGTATTATAATTTTCTACTCACTACTGTCCAGATTCCAGCTAACTGGTCACCGGCCTCGTTATGTAATAGCTGCTGACAACCAGAAACCCCAATGCCTTGAAACAAACGTTTTCATTCAATTCAAGGGACAAGTTACAAGAATTAGATTGTCGAGGGGCTTGACTTACATTCATTAGAAACTACCAAACACCTGGAACCGTACCGAAAGGACAAGAATTGAGTTCAAAGAAATCAATTGGCTTATGCTCGCTGGTAAAAAGATATTGGATATTGAACAAGTGCTGGCTTAGATAACCTTCGAAATTTCAGGGTCCTTTGGTACTCAGTGATCTGTGCAACAGCAACTTATTTGAAACTTTGCTCTGACAACTTCTAGTTCCGATTCTTTATTCTTAGTTGCTGTCTGTTAAATTTTATTTTAAATGTAAGTGCATTCTGTGTGCTTACTGACTCGTTGGCCCACATTTTTCTCCTGTTCCCTCCTTTTGCATATAACACTGCTCCACAGATACCTCGCTAAACGAAAACTAACCAAAGACTTAAGCTACACAGCTACTGACGCCTTAGTTTGGGCTAATTTTGTTGCTATCAAGTAGATAACAATTCTCAAACCAGTTATGGAAGCAGAATAAAAGATAAATGCTCAAAGTCATTTACTTCATTATAACATGCTGGTAGTGATGACGATTAAGATAAAACACTTGGGACGTGGCTCAGAAGAGATTATGAAGATATGTTTAAGGAATACTGAAATTCGGGATTGAGACTAAGTGTATAAATCTGCTTTATTGTAAGCGATCGTCTCCATAACAAAAAAATAGCTGTTCCTATAGCGCGGACTAATAAAAGACTGATATAATGTAGTCTTGACTAATGTCTCTTGTACTCTAGATATGTCCACTGTCATTAATTTAGTCAGTGTTTTGAAGTACGAAATTAGTTTTCATTCAGGTGGTTTTTCTACTGCATTTTGAGTCAATCGGGCTGTCAATATGCAAATACTAGTATTAAAATAATGCTACGGTAGTTCATTGGCTATTTTCGTAGAGCTGTACGAGATTCAGAATACCCGTGTTTAGTTTATATATTTTCTGATACGACTCAGCGTAGTTGCTGATGATATGTTGATCTAGATTCTTTTAACAGAAAAGTAGGAATATCCCTTAGGATGTCGTACTGTTGGTTTCAAGTGACAGTTCACTTCTAGACAGTACTCATGGATGAAAATTCAGCCAATAAAATCGTCCCCACTTGATAAAGTTCACGAACGGTGCATTATTCAAATGTTAACTCAATTGTTTTGTTTCAAAAACAAATATCACTTTCCTTTTTTACGTAGATTGTGGTAATATAAGTGTGCGAAAGGATTTCGACGGTTGGTAAGCGAAAACCTACTACAGTAGCTATTACCATGAAATTTCAATCGCCAACCCCACTATGAGAATCGGAGCGTATTAACATTTGTGAAACGTATAGCACAGTCGCTCAACTCTTGAGTAAAATGCAGTCTCGAAGTCGTCCTCAAAGCAATATAAAAAGTAAATGATTTTTTTTATAATGAGTAAAGATTTTGGTCTTGATGAATCACGAAATAGGTTTCAGATAGAACTGGAGTTTGTTCAATGTCTTGCCAATCCCAACTATCTAAATTGTTTGTTGATATATACTTACTTATTTATAGTTCTTGCACAGCAGGGTTGGTTTGAAAAGCCGAATTTCATAAAGTACTTGAAGTACTTACTATATTGGAAGGACCCTAGATACTCAAGGTATCTCATGTAAGTTATTAAACTAGTTTGTCTTAAGTAGTTGGTACATTTTATGCTTAGTTTTTGAGTGTAACTAAAAATAATCCATAGGTGAACAAGGATAAAGTGTCTCCTCACAACATGTATTGCTAGAGCATTTACTTCTGCCTTCATAATTACCCATCTGTTGAACCGTTATTTTTCTCTGTGTAAATATATGCATAGAAACCTTTATTATTTATGAAACGTTTCCCAAAAGTACAAGTTGTTTTAGAATGCCCTTAGTGCAACTAGTGCTTATTTCTGCTTCCCTATGAGCTGACCACTATTTTAATTTAGCTTGGTTTCCATACTTAGAATCCAGTGGTGTTCAGCTATCTCGTTCATACAAGTCATCCTAAAAAATAGGTTTTGGCTAACTTAACACAAGGTGAATTTAGCACGTATAGAAACATCATGTAATCTTAAAAGCTTGCCTCAGATCATCAGTTCAATGCAAATGCTTTCGATAAAATTCTAACTTGCCATCGTATTTAAGCTTAACCTCAGACTTAAATATATCAAGTATAAGTGGTTTTGAAAAAAATATTCAGATGTCTCACAGGCAACGGCTTTTCTGAAGAAACCTTCAAGTACCTCAGTTTGTTATTGTCACTTGAATGTTTCCATAGATAACCATATGAACCAGAAGATGCATCAGTAAAACTTTTGGTTTAAGTTCTCACCGTATGGTCAGTAAATAGGGCAACTATGGGTGCATGGTCGATAATTTACCAATTCAGGTTTGTAGCCAAAATAATATATTCCCATTTTATTTTTTAGCTATCCCTACTGTCTTCACTTACTGGATCTATTGCAACATTCGGAATTTCGCTCAGCTCTTGCACGAGGTCAAATATGTCGAATGATCGATGATCAGATTCTTCTTCACTGGCAGCACTACATGCGAAAGCGTGCAGCTCTTATAGCTAAACACGTTGAAGAAACTATACAGCCTACTTAACTTCACCCCTATATTATGGAATGTGCCAAAATGATCATTAATTTATTTTTATTTCGAAATTTGTATTCTTTTTGAAGATGTGTTTTGACATCATAATCTAGCGTCTGGTAAACAAACGTCTTCTCTTTAGTTTAGTCGCATGATACTTGAATATTTCACTAAATAAGAATCTATGTACAAACTAAACCCCTACTATTTAGCAGGATCACGTAAATTCATTTCAGTGAGTTATCTTTAATCTAATTATATTGAATCACTAACATCTGATCTGTTCTGATCAATTTGTATTATATTAAGTCGCTTCTCTGGAAATCGAATATTTATTTAGATATTAGTCTTCCGAATGAAACCTGCACAGTCTTACTTCTTTATATACTTCAAATTAACTATTGAGATAGTTCGCGTATAAAGTAATGCTTTTTGATTTTAATACTAATTAAAAAGGCTTGTACTAATTATTGTCAACAGCCTCTATATCTGGATATTTAATTTTATGCATATATTCTCATTCTGTAAGTGTGAACAACTGTGCTATCACACTGAACTACTTTCCCTTATATATCCTTCACTTCCAATGCTGATTCCCAATCAGTGCGTAGCCTCGATTATTGTGCTGATAATTTTCTAGTACTCTCCCCTTATCACCGTATTGTACTCAATAAGAAGCTCCATTGTCCTTTTTTATTTTTTCCCCTGTTTAAAAATTGTCTTCTCGGAAAATTGTAGAGTTCTATATTATAGTCAGTCGTTCTTCAGATATTTATTTCATTCATGTACAAAAATGTAAGGGAATAAGTACACTCTAGGTTAATATTTCTAGCTTTCCTCTTTTCTGTTAATGTCTGTTGTGTTATATATACAGTTGATACTGGCTTAAAAAAGACAGTTTATTATTATATTCCGAATGGTTTTTATACTTTATCCCACATGTATTAAATTAGTTGCTAAGACATAATCCTAATCATGAAGTTATCACTGATGTGGGGAACATATATCATCTGGATTAGTTATCTAGGTCAAAGTAAGAGAAAGTGATAAAATGATGCAACGCAAAACTTGGTACGTACGTACTTCAGACGAAGTCATCTAACCACATTAGTACTAACAGATGCGATTGTCAATTCAAGTTCTATGGTGGTAGAGGTAGTAGCAGTATTGGCGGAAGTCGAAGAGATTAGTGATCGAATATATGGTTCGATGAGTATATCCCAGTGAAAAATATTTAAGAAGAGAATAAAATGATCATGAGTAACTCCGATTACAATTTAGGAAAAGACAAAGAATGTATGCATCGTAACCTACGAATATTCTCGACTCTTACTGGCTATGTTTCGCATCCATAAAGTAGGACGGAGCGAACTGCTGTACAATAAACTTGGTTAGTAGACGAATATCGCCTACGCCACGAGTGACGCTATTGGCAAAAGCCAGTCGAGCCTTCTGTATCCGTGCTGAGATTTCGTCACACACCAGCATTGATGAAACCCCCAAGATAAGTGAAGCAGTCAACACGCTCAACTGCTCTACTCATTTAGTGATTGAGATCAGTCAAAGGGGATCACGTTCAGTTCTCAGATTCTGCCTAGGCTCTCAATCAGTTCAAGTTCTAAAACTGGAACACCATCATTAAAAAATCTTGGGCTAACTTACCAAGGCTGCTCTTCCCCCTCACTTAAGACTGTCTATAGCGATTTTAACCTCATTTGGAGTTAAGAGACTTACACCAATCTGCCATTCAAGTTGACTGAAGTGGGACTAAAGACTAGTTGAACTGCCCCCTGAAATGTTATGCTCATCGACCCAGTCTCCTGGAGTGGAAATAAGTGACAGTCCTTTCTTCGAGAGTCTCGCGAACAGTCGGATTCCTGACACCTATTTACTTGACAAGTCTGAATAGTTGTCTACTGTTGCTTATTGCTGTTGCCTTTTCCATCTTTCTTGCTTTCGCTACCCACCACTTCGCAATCATTGCATGAGCTTCTTGTCTGCTTGAGCTGACTCCCCTCCTCATCATGTTCAGAGCCAGATGGGATGAGTTTCTGAGCATACTACGAGAACCCACTGATTCTCTCTAGCCTTTTGGTTTACCTTACTGACGGATATTCGTGCTGTCTCCATGGCTTTTCGGGTATTATTCCAAGCTTCTTCGAGATGGGCATCGCTTATATGGCTGTGTAGCTGTTTTTCCGGTTGCTCTCGAAATTTGCTCCTGGCTTTTTTTACTGTTTCCCTGCTGTGGAAGGATACATAAATATCCATAAAATGAGGTCGACCAAGTAAAGTCGATATGAAGGGTAATATAGCGCTCCTTGACCTGGTCAAGCTTGCCAATCGAGATGACCCAACCGAGCTAAAGTGGCTGGAACATATACTCTTGTAGGTTCTACCATGCCAGGCAGGTCAATTGGAGAACGGTGAGACTAAAAGCAGCTACTCAATATGTGAGGGCGAAGTCGTACTACTGACTGTAGAGGAGTGTGATGGAGTAAGGTGTTTCCCTCGGACAAACAGCATCTGCAGCGATGCTGCCTTCTCACAAGGAAGGAAGGGGTCAGAAAATGTCGACCCTAGAAATGTATCACTTCAAGGATTCCCGTCTCCGGCGATAAGGCAATACTTTAAGAACGCCGTGTCCGACCGGCCTCAAGCTGTTGTTGCTTGAGCTCTTCGGTCACGCTACCAGGTCCATAAGACTAACGCTAATCTACCTTCGTTTTCAGGTTCCTCAAGAAACATCTTTGCACGGTGTGGGCAGCCGGGAAGACACAACCACCCACATACCCGTAACAGCACACGATACCAAATTGGTCACAATCAAATCCTTCCTACAAACCCTAACATCTCTTATCTCCACGACTAACCATTTCCACATTCCTTTGCCACCCCGCACCGCTAATAGAAACGATTCGAGTTCACGAAACGTTATACCTGGTTTCCTGAAACCCCGTTCTAAACTACATGTTGGAGCTTCTAATGTTCGAACCTTGTGTCATTAGGGCGACAGGTTTCCTTTCCTCTGGAACCCCATCCCATCGGTGTATGCTGCTTCTCCGAAATGCACATACAGGATCCGAGAAAAATCATTAATTTGATTTCACTGTGTCCAGATAGAGAATCAATTCGGTTTACGCTTTGAGAATCTGGAAGCCATGCTACTGCCTCCCGTGGCCTCGCTGGTGTAGGTATGGCATTGAGTCCTAGGACAGAACTAGCTCTCTTAGACTGGATCTCAGTAGATAGTCGACTGTGCGTTGTCCGACTTAACGGGACAGTAAGGACTCGGAAAGATAAAGAAACTCACCGTCACTTTTTCGTCGTATCTGTCTACGCTCTCACTGACTGCAGTTCAGGCGAAGTGAAAGATGAGTTTTACAGAAAGCTTTCGGACCTCTTCCAAAAAGTTGGGCGCTCTGATATAGTAATAGTGGCTAGTGACTTCAACACTTAAGTAGTTAGACTCAGTGAAAAGGAGACACCTGAGTGGATCTTATGGTGTCGCGGCTCAAAGAACATAATGGCGAATGTCTGCTACAGCTATGCTCAGATAACTCACTAACTTTAAGCATAAGGAAAAACATCTTTTGACCTGGCGAGCTCCAGTGTCGTCTCAACGCTGGATCCAACTAGATCACATCAGTCATCGATCGAGCGGATCTGTAGAAGACTGTCGCTCGTTTTGGTGCACATGTTTAGATTCAGATCATGCTTTGGTGGGAGCGCATATTTGTTTGCGGCTTACCGGACGTTAGAAAGACAACAAGGAAACCTCCTAGGGTTCTGCTTAATGATAAAGCAAAGAATATATATCAGAAACAACTAGAAAAACAGTTTGGCGGCCATGTAAGTTATTCCTGTCCGGAGGCATTAGGAATGATATCCAAAACGCTGTGGAAATAGCAATTATATCTGCTAGTAAAGTAAACTGTTAAGCTAGGAAAAAGGCGTGGATCTCAGTAGCATTCACCGAACTGATAGGCGCTCGAAAACTCATCCTACCTGGCTCTGAACTAATATAGTGTCTAAAATATTAGCCTAACTGGAGCTCGTGAACATCAGACTCTAGGAAACCAGGCTGGTTTTCGACACGGACGTGGATAAACAAACCACATATTCACACTACATCAGATACTAGAACAGACATACGTTCAGACGTCCCACAATCGTAGTATTTCTCGAACTCAAAGCGGCATTTGACTCAGTTGATCGTGAGGTTTTGTACAAGTATCTGTCATTAAAAGATATATCAAAGAAGTACATTAGCCCTATACAAGCTCTTTACTCGAACACCACTGGTCGAGTGAGAGCTTATACCGAACTGTCATCAGAATTGATTACTTAGAGAGGTGTCCGTCAGGGTTGTTCACTTTCTCCATTCTTGTGTAACTTTTTCGTAGACATCCTCTTACAGTTAAAATTAAGCTCATCAGATTTTTCAAGGGTCGACCTTCTACCAGGAGACACGCTTGTTGACTTAGAATATGCCGATGACATAGTTCTACATGGTGAAGACGCTGACGAAATACAGAGACTACCCTAAGCAACAATGCAAGCATATTTAGGATGGGGTATTCCTCTTGAAATGCACAACGTTGCTTCAAGATTGGCCTGAATCGGAACCTGAACTAGTGATAGGGAGTAAAGCAGTTGGGAGTTTCATCAATGCTGGTGTGTGACGAAATCCCAGCACGGATACAGAAGGCTCCATTGGCTTTCGCCAACTTGCATCACTTATAACGTAGGCAAGTGGACTGAATCATGCTAGTAGATTTAGGCTACCTGGTCGGGGTCCGCGAGACGGAAGTCACGGACGGTTAGAGACCTTGAAGGGTATGGCTCAAAATCGTTTGTAATGGCGGCGGTGCGTCCACTCTTTAGTTTCTCTGAAATTCTAATCTCATGAATACCTCGTCACCTCTATCTTTCTCGCTCTAAATTTAATCCACTAAATTACACTTCTTGAAAAATATCTTGGAACCCTTATCTCTCAGATGCTAATACTCCGACTATCTCTCTCACCATGGGATTTGAACAGACAATTGCGTCTCTGTTCTATTGTGGTATGGCAACCTGAACTTATGTACGTGCGTACAAAGTTCGACGTTGAAACTGACTAACTGACCAGCATCTGCAACGACGCCGCCTCACAAAGAAGGAAGGGGTTAGAAAAGGTCGATCATAAAAACGTCACACTCCACCTTACCAAATGGATTTCCGTCTCTGGTGGCAAGGCGGAGCTGACACTTGGAAAACTATAAAAAGGCCTTGCGTGACCGGCCTTAAGCATTTGTCAGCTGAACTCCCTTAACACGCTCCTAGGTGACCAATCTTAATCTTTCATGTTTATCATAAACAATGCCGAATTCGTTGATTCACTTTCCCTTTCCTTCAGCTAGCTTTCAGCACGTTTTTTAAGTCGCTTCTTTTCCACTCTAATAGACTAATAATTTCTGAATGTTTTGTTTTCTGATGTTGTTAATTTGTATTTCAAAAACAGATCAAGTTTCGCAAGTCAAATGGCTTACTTTTTGTGACTTTGGCCGAGCTAAGACTGTGTTTGACAGTCTAGAAATTTTGACGTTAATACTCCTAAGTATTGATCTGGTCATGTTGTGGATGAACGACCGGGACCAGCCACTGGACTTAGTTGATTATTCACCGACTTCAATAACCTTACTGTGAACATACCACAATCATTTAGATGGCTTTAGCAGTGGCTCTGGTCGAACTAAAGGTTAAAAATTTTTAACTAAAGAAAGTCATAAATGCAAGAAATGTCATAAACGTTAGAACTTGTATTAACACAATATCTAGCTAAGATAATATTACTAAGCTATTATTTGAAAGAGTCGATCATAAAATAATACTTCATTTGAGAGTAAGATAAACTACATTTTAGTAACGAGTCTGATAATGCCCCCACCGGTTACAAGTACGATTATGTAATTATGTGATTATGTTGTAGCAGAAAGACTCCTTATAAGAGTAACTAGCTGAGTGTCAATACCGACTGCTAATTATTTTTTTTTCAAGTACGTAACTTCTCTGAACAGTATAGGAAATATACACAATTGCATTTCTACGTTTATTAATTACAATGTTCATTTTCAAATAATCTGCCATAATTTAACTTTGGAATACATGAATTCTCAATGAGGTATACGTTAACATTTAAATTTTTCTGTCTTAAAATCATATGTTCTAATTCATTGTTACTTTATGCAAATTTCCCAATAATTGCTGTTCCACAGGTATAGTTAAATCAATTTTTGTAGCAATTGTTTCACGATATAATTTTGTCCAACTTTCTTGATTATTCACTGCTTCAGTTGCATTCGGCACTGAATCAATAGCACCACAACCACGTAATCCATGTATAAATACGCTTGGTTTTGGAACTTGTGTATAACCATCCTCTTTAGTTGTTGTACCAGTTTCTCTGAAATGTGAAACAAAAATCTAAGGATGAGTTCATTTTTAAAAGTAAATGAATTGTTAATGCATCTTTTTTCATCAAAGGGAGTTAAATTAAATTCCACATAGGTTGGTGTCAAGCAAACACTTAACTTCTACCTGTGTACAAATCATTTTTTAGACATTCATTGATGATGAACTATCCAAACAGTCTAGAGCTTTAGTTTACATAACTCGTTTAAAATTACTAAACCTAACTAGATGAAATCGGGATAAGGAACCTTCCGGAAAATGTAGATATAATTTTTAGTATCTCGGAAAACAGTATGTAAGATGACACTTCTATGCGTACATACTATTCAAGATATTGATACTTCATCAAATGTTACCTGCAAGAGGAAATTGCTTCGTAAATTGAATCTAACTATACGAGCTGTGTTCTAAGCAGATGTCATTTTACAGGTCACATTTATGACTTTACTACTCCACGTTTGTTGTGTAAACTGAGTAACTGGACGTTCTGTCCTACTAACACTGAACCAGTTAGAGGTATTGTACTTTAGTCAAAGTTACATGACGCAGTTTCATTTATGTTTTTCAATTCGGAAAGTTACTGATTTAAAGTTATTCCAAATTAATTACCACTGATAGAAAGAACCCTCAAGGCCGAAAGAAAAGAGGCAGACCAAGGGACACATTGCGCCGAGAATTAGAAACAGACATGAAAGAATGAATAGCAACTGTGTATAACTGGAACAGAAGGCCCTAGGCATAGTAGGTTGGAGAATGCTGGTCGGCGGCCTACACTACATTAGGGGTAGCGGGCACAAGTAAACAAGATAGCAACGTGCAAATCGAAGAAATGAACTGATAAATTGCAAACTATTAAAACTCAATATTGCGCACTGATTGAATATAAAATTATAAGGAAGTGGATTTTGGGTCAGTAATTCGGAAAAGTATTATGTTCCTTAAAAAGACCAACATTTTGAGCATATTGATGTATCCGATCTCGGTTATTCATTGATGAATGAATTTTAAACTAAGTTGGTACAACTTTTCACTGTTGGCTGCTTATCTACTGTTTTGTAGTGGAGATAACTAGTGCTATATGATGATGAGCTTCGAAATTTTATTATTATTCCTCACAACCTATTATCTTAATTATCAATAGAAAAAAAGGGTTCTAAAGGTATTAAATCTTACTTCATTAAATAAACTTGAGTTGCATTATCTCTTTTCCAGTTGCTTAAAATTGTTTGAACAGAATCTGTGGCTTTTTTCCGCAAATTTACCTATCCGTCATGAAAAAGAAAAGCTAATTAACCGACAGTTAATTTTAAACGAAACCAGTCAATATACTATTACTTCTTTATGTTCATCAAAACATCTAATATAATTTCGATAGTTTAAGTTGTAATCATTTTAGAACAAATCATATAAAACCGTAGTTTATACTTTAACTGAGAGTGTACCATCACAACAGAATACATTTAATAAATAAGGTTAACGAATTAAATTACAGACTTACTTACTTACTTACGCCTGTTACCCCAATGGAGCATAGGCCGCTCACCAGTTTTCTCCAACCAACTCTGTCCTGGGCTTCCCTCTCCAGTTCTGTCCAATGTTTGTTCATTCCTCTCATATCTTTATCTATTTCTCGGCGTAATGTGTTCCTTGGCCTTCCTCTTTTCCTTTTGCCTTGAGGGTTCCATGTGAGGGCTTGTCTTGTGACGCAGTTAGGTGCTTTTCGTAGTGTGTGTCCTATCCACTTCCACCGCTTCTTCCTGATTTCCTCTTCCACTGGAATCTGACTTGTTCTCTCCCACAGTTCGTTGTTGCTGATGGTGTCTGGCCAACGAATACGAAGTATTTTGCGTAGACAACTGTTAATAAATACTTGTATCTTGTGGATGATGGCTTTCGTAGTTCTCCATGTTTCTGCTCCATACAGTAGAACTGTCTTCACATTTGTATTGAAAATCCTGATTTTGGTTTTGTTTGAAAGTTGTTTGGAGTTCCAGATATTTTTCAACTGTAGAAATGCAGCCCTCGCTTTGCCAATCCGCGCCCTCACATCTGCATCCGATCCACCTTTCTCGTCGATGATGCTGCCCAGATATGTAAAGTTGTTAACGTCCTCGAAAGCATATCCATCAAGCGTGATTTGGTTGGTGCATGTTGTGTTGCATCGGAGAATTTTGCTTTTTCCTTTATGTATGTTGAGACCTACTGCTGCTGAGGCTGCTGCTACACTGGTCGTCTTCTCTTGCATTTGTTGTTGAGTGTGCGATAGAAGAGCCAGGTCATCTGCGAAGTCCAGATCGTCCAGCTGCGTCCTAACTGTCCAGTTGATACCGTGCTTCCCTCCAGACGTCGACGTCTTCATAATCCAGTCGATGACCAGGAGAAAGAGAAAGGGTGAGAGTAAGCAACCTTGCCTGACACCGGTCTTGACCTCAAACGAGTTTGTCAGCTGACCTCCGTGTACGATTTTGCAGTTGAATCCATCATAAGAATTCCGTATGATGTTGACTATTTTCTCAGGCACACCATAGTGTCGAAGAAGCCTCCGTAGTGTTTTCCTATCCACGCTATCAAATGCTTTCTCGTAGTCGATGAAGTTGATGTAGAGTGGTGAGTTCCATTCAATTGATTGTTCCACAATGATCCGTAATGTAGCAATTCGGTCAGTACACGATCGATCCTTACGAAATCCGGCCTGTTGATCTCGAAGTTGGGCGTCTACGAAGTCTTTCATTCTGTTTAACAATACTCTGTTGAAGACTTTGCCTGGTATTGAAAGAAGAGTGATGCCTCTGTAGTTCTCACACTTGCTGAGATCGCCTTTCTTTGGTATTTTGATCAGGTATCCTTCTTTCCAATCTGATGGTACTTGTTCCTCATCCCAAATCTTCTTGAAGAGGATGTGAAATATTTTCGCAGTTGCTTCTACATCTGCTTTCATTGCCTCTGCTGGAATGTTGTCTGGTCCTGCTGCTTTGCCGTTCTTGATTTGTCTGATGGCCATACTGATCTCCTCAATCGTAGGTGCGCCAATAATTATTGGGAGGTCCTTGGATGCTGCTTCGATGTTGGGTGTCTTCAGTGGAGCTGGTCGGTTCAAAAGTTCCTTAAAGTGCTCTACCCACCTATTTCGCTGTTCGTCAGTGTTGCTGATTATTTTCCCTTCCTTGCTTTTCACTGGTCGTTCTGGTTTATGATAGTTCCCGGCGAGCTTCTTTGTTGTTTCGTACAATTGTCTCATGTTTCCTTCTCTTGCAGCCTTTTCCGCCGTCATTGCTAGATAATCCACATATTTTCGTTTGTCAGCTCTGATGTTCTTCTTCACTTCCGTGTTTGCTTCTGTGTATGCAGCTTGTGCGGTAACTTTCTCTGCTCTTGTTCGGCTGACATTCACTGCTGCCTTCTTGTCCCTCCTTTCTTCAATTTTTTCAAGAGTATCAACAGAGATCCATTCCTTGTGATGGTGCTTCTTGCGACCAAGGACCTCCTGACATGTTGAAGTGATTGCTTCCTTAATCCCTTTCCAATTGTACTCCAATGTTGCTTCCTCTCCATTGAGTAGATCCTGAAAGGCCTGGAACCTATTGGTAAGGGCTATCTTGAATTCGTTGAGTTTTACGGTATCCCGAAGAAAGGCCGTATTAAACTTCTGTGATGTTGTCTGCCCCGTTGTCCAGTGCTTCTTTAGCTTCAGTTTCATTTTGGCGATCAGCAAGTGGTGGTCTGAAGCTATATCAGCTCCTCTCTTGGTTCTCACATCCTCCATGGTCCTTCTGAACTTTTTGTTGATACAGATATGGTCAATTTGGTTTTGAGTAGTGTGGTCCGGTGAAATCCATGTAGCTTTGTGAATGCGTTTGTGCGGGAATATGACCAGTTTGTTGAAGGCACAGTAAAATCGGAAAACCATATCGTAAATTCTTCATTTGCAAAAGATCAGTTCATCCTATGGAACTGGACTGTTCCTGTTGCCAAACATCAATCCATTGTCACTATTCATGCGTTTCATACAAATTCCATTGTTTTCTAACTCTTCCTTTCTTGATGTTCCCCCCATATTATGCTACCAGACTTTACGTTGACACTCACGTTATATACTACTTATAAGTAGCTCGCACCACAAAATTAGTGACAATTAAAAAGACAAAGTACAAGTCATGTCGACTTGAAATTCATAAAATAACAAGTATTGTGTAAATTGCTTTTTATAGAGATATCTTCAAAATAATTAAACTTGAAGTTTTGAATGTTTATCAATAAACTAAAAGGTATAACTGTTTCTATCACAGTATGATGGTTATGTGTAAAGTATGGATAGTGTGAATCAGAAAAAGATTAATTAAAAATTAAAATACAGTGTGCTCATTAACAAAATCAACTAATTTTATGAATTTATATAGAGAACTATTTAGTTGAAACAAAAGCAACCATCAAGTAAATTTCAAATGGAAACAAACCAATGATAGATGTATATACAAGAGTGTTTGTTCAATGTTAAACAAATAATGGAGATTTGTAGTGATTTATAAGTCTTGCGAAGTAAATTCAAATACGACTTGATTGTTAGACACAGTATATACGAATCAGCTGAGAATTGCTTAATACCAGATGGACAGATGTTAGGGTTATTTATGATTTAGAAGTTATTTTATCAGTTATTAGAATCTGAATGAATACTAGAATCTAATCAATATTTACTGATGACTGTCGATAAAATAATGTTTTATCCCATCCAAAAACACCGAATCTGCTATTGTAGTGCACCATTTAACAATCCGATCTATTTTCATGGTAGAAAAAAATCCGTTTAATTCAGTTGTAGACGTAAGTCCATGATTTATGTGCATTTGCTAAGGCATGATAATAAATTCTCAAGTGAAATATTTAAACGTACTTACCAACTTTAAAGCATTTTTTCTCAGTTCCCACTCATTCCAATGATAATTTTTATCAATATACGTTTCTATTGGATGCAATAATGTTTGCGTGCCGGAGTCGAACTTAGAACCTTGATTTTTAGAAAATTGATTATTCTGTGATAAAAAAAAAGGGCAATGGATTTTTCTATTGATATCACGACAAAATATGCTGGTATGTTTAAAATAAGGAGAACTAGTTCATTCATTCAATAACCTCCAAACTATTTGAAATCAGATATTCATTATCGCATTCGGTCAATAAGTTTCTACATGAATAAAATGAATCAAAGCACAACTAAGGTCGTGCTCTAAGGCTGACCAGGATCTTAAAGTATTACCTATGCAATCAATTCAGAGCTTGATTCATGTTAGAGAGTCTGAAAAATACTACTCCTCGTTTGGTGTACACTTTAGTAGATAGGTAATTAGTAATTAAATTTTAAAGAGAACTATGTTTAAGGGAACTGTCAGTATGAAATGTTAAAGATTCATTCATAAACTAACCCATGTATCTGATAATCAAATATTTTCTCTCAAAAAAGTATCAATTCGTCTTGGTCTTCTGTATTGGTTACCTACAACATTACCACGTATTAAGCAGCCACAATGTAAAGATAGTAGATAAACCACTACAACGTTGGCTAAAGCTATTATCAACTTTCCGTTCTACTTAAAATAGGTTGATGAAACTGTCAACCTTCTCCTACTGAGAAGAATGAGTTATGAAGCCTAAATTAAATGGTTATACAATGACAGCTGATAAAAGGGGTAGACTGAAAAAGTCCAGAAGCGATCAGATTGAGGTTACGACATGGTATTATGAAGTTATTAACTGATTTCGGGAATCTCACGAGATACAGAATTTTTTATTTGGACTTATGTTGTTTTCAAAGTGTTTTATGAGACTCGAAGTCCAACTTTCGAATTTAGCATCATTCCATAATACTCATTATTCTATCACTAGTTCTTATTGAACTAGATTTCCTATGCTTAATTCATTTATATAACTAGTTCGACGTATTGCTGTTAATTTTTTTCTACTTCCAGTCTGTGTTGATTTGAAATATGACATTTATAGCTGACTGAGAGAGATATTTGTGTCTATAAATGCCGATTACTGCTTTAGGGATTTGCGGATATTGTTGAATTGTATGATGTACATCAAAGATTGGTCTTGGTTTAATAGCTATTAGTATAATATAGAAGCCTCGAAAAGTAAGCATCCATGACGCCACTAATTTCAGACCTAGGACGCTCAGGTCTCACAGCTTGTGCCCAATTTTTTGACCCCTGAGCCAGTACCCATCTATCTTCATGTTTTAGAGTGACATTTAGAACATCATCATACACACTTCTCTGTGGAATATGCTGCAAATATTCATTTCACGAGTTAAACTTTTAGTTTACACAAAAGTGTTAAATAGTGTGCAGTTCAGCTGTGAGTGCTCTACCATCGATCGAACTCAGTAATCGCATAAATACAACTTTCACAGGATGTATGATAAAAAAAGTCGTTGGTTGTTAAATAATAATTTAAATTCTCAATAACTTATATAAAAAACCTACCGTACAAGAAATTCCTTTTGAAAAAAGGTAATTAAGTTTCAAAATTGGAATTAGTTCAGGTAAACGTCGTACAACTTCTGGTATAGCCTTTAAAAAACTGGGAAACAAATAATACTTCACATTGACCTCATTATTATTATTTGTGTGTAATTATTTTAGTATAAAAGGCATGATTTAACAAATGTATGGAAAGATTATTCACTCACCACTAATGTGAAACAATCCTGCCGACTGTTGGAATATTACAATCCATTTCGATTATCTATAAAATCAAGCACCTACTGTACTATATTGTTAACCTTACTATCACTTTCCTCTTCCACATTCACTCAGTAAAGTTTTCATTTCCTACATTCAGTGTTCACAATTATATAATGAAGTATCCTGTGTATCAAAAACATAGTCAAATAAGCTTTTGATATATTTCTAAACGAAGATATCTGAGGATAAAATAATCCTTTTTAATATTATCATTCACCGAATACTGAGAATCCTCATGAAACATTTTGAAAACAAAAAATATCTGAGAGAGAGAGAGCGATTGTTTTCAATTACTGATAATATGTTGAGTCATTCATTAAGTTATATAAAAATGAATTAGATTGAAATTGATAAATTTTGTGGTAGCCTTATCTGACTCCATTGAAGATGATAAAATAATGAATTGCACATTATCACTGACTTTGTTTGTATTCTCCTCATTAGTTTCGTTAATAACAATGGGAAATATAGAGGTATATATGAGCAATGTTGAGAGGATGTGTATATTTCATGCATACAATTTTTCGAACAAACTGCAAAAAATAAATAAACTGTTGTAGAGAGACAACTTCGACCATCATCATCCAAAGAGGTTTAATTAGGTGTAACTCATTTTTTCACATTCGAAAAAAACGAATTGAATACAGGTAAATAGATAGACAATCAATCAGACTAAAATAAGGATTTGATTATCACCGATTTTGTCTCGCGTGCTGTTACGAGTGTGAGGGCGGTTGTCACTTCCCGGCTACCCACACCGTGGAAGGTTGTTTCTTGAAGAACCTGAAAACGAAGGTAGATTAGTGTCGGTCTTAGAGACCTGGGAGCGTGACAGCAGGGCCCAAGGGACAACTGCTTGAGGCCGGTCACGCACGGCCTTTTTATGAAGGGTTTACTGAGTATTAGCTCCGCACTTGAAAGCCCTTAGTTGGCACCCTTACTGCCGGAGATGGATATCCATGAGGTAGTGTGAGGCTTGACATTTTTAGGGTCGACCTTTTCTAACCCTTCCTTCCTTCATCGTGAGAAGGCAGCATCGCTGCAGATGCTGGTTGTCCGAGGGAAACACCTTACTCCATCACACTCCTCTACAGTCGGTAGTACGACTTCGCCCTCACATATTGAGTAGCTGCTTTTAGTCTCACCGTTCTCCAATCAACCTGCCTGGCATGGTAGAACCTTCAGGAACATGTGTTCCAGCCAAAATTGCTCGATCACCACATCAAGGTAGCAGCTTCGGTCGGGACATGTGTTACGTATGGCTAACCACCGACTGCCGCAACGATCTATGTTTTGTGGTGTAGGAGTAGGTTAGACGAAAGCTAGGGGCGGCCAGACCAAAACATGGTAGAAATCCATGAAATCACTGACAAGTGGGCTGAGTCATGTTGGTAGATGTAGACTACCTGGTTGGGGTCCGCGAGACGAAATTCACCAATGGTTAGAGACCTCGAACGACATGGCTCAAAATCGTTTGCAATGGTGCAGGTGCATCCATTTGTTGTGCTCTCTCAAATCCTAATCTACTGGATTCGTCAACACCTCTACATTTGTCTTTCTAACCTTATCTCACTGAATTATACTTCTTGAATAATATCTTCAAACCCTAGTCTTCTTCATTACCATTAATACCTCTATTATCTCTATCACTGTGGGATTTGATTTGACATTTGCGTCTCTGTGCTAATGTGGTATGGCAACATGAACTTATGTACTACGTACGAAGTTGCAACTGACTAAGACTAAAATAAAGTGAAATGACTGACATACATACTGCTATGTGTACATAAATCTAAAAATTCACAATTTTTGCAAGTAAATAACAACACTCATCAAAATAAGTGCAACATAATTTAAGCACACAGATTATAAGACGTTCATGCATAGGAAATAAGTAAATTAGTACTATTAGGAAGATAAAATTGACGCACTAGTAACATGCAAACATTTAATTATCCATCTGAAAGTTTTAATCAAAATTACAAGAACTTCAGATCGGTTACATCAATTAGGAACATTGAAACGTCTGCGGTTTAAGTTATTTGTAGATACACTGTATTAATGAACACTTTTATATCCTACGACTTATCACTCTTCAAACCAATAAAATTCATTTTGAAAGGTTTTTAATCGATTATTTTTCTAAGACACACGTAAAAGCGATGATATTTTCAAAAATATAGCACTAGTAATCAGGCTATCAATAGTTTAGAGTCAAATTCAAAAACGGTACAATCAAAGATCACTTGTTTCTTAGCATTCTGTTCTTTAAATATTTGAGCTTAAAAAGCTATGCATCTAGACAAATGGAACACTTACTTCGTAGACACTTAGACCAATGTTATACTTTAATATTAACAGTAATAACATCAAAGTTTAACATTAGGAGTGAAAGAGAAAAGCGATGTGTTTCAATGTCAACTATAGATTTATATATTCTCTTATTTAATTAACACTTACTTATCGGAATCCATCACAAATTCTTTTGCTGCTTCAGGTGTACTGAATGCATACATTTTATTATCTGGAGGCAAGACTAACACTCCCATATGAACATCAGCTGGTACCAGTAGACCTTGATAACGTACTAATGACCAGATACAAAATCCCTGTAAATATTTATTGATTGAAATAAGGTAGAATACGAAGAAACCATGACACATACTAACGATCATTCATTTTCGTAGTAATATAAAATTCAACAAAAAGTTTTATTAGTGATTAAGATCTGCTTTCAAGTATTTGTTTTTCAAATTGTGATAAAAATTTTAACTGATGTAGACAAATTTTGATACTTTTTCAACTAGAAAGTGGTGAGTAAACGAGAATAAATGCAACTTTAAGTGTGTTAAGGGATTATTAAGACCCTGGTATTGAATAATCTATTATTGACTCACTCTGTCTGGAGCCGTTCTGGGGTTACAACCGGTCCCAGACCCGCATAAAGGAGGAGGGTTAGGCATGGGGTTAAACACCCTATCCCGTAGTAACTCGCTAAAAAACGCTAATCAGAGCAAATAATTCAAACTCTGCCCTGGGAGTTAGAACGTCTTCATTCACAAAAGGTTATGACATTTTGTGGTGAAAACCGAGTTTATTCTGAAGTTATGAGGTTGATCTCCCTGCTGACAATCAGAGAAACGATTAATATAGGTACGTGGAATGTTAAAACAATGTGGAAGACCGAAAGAGTCATCCGAGTAGCTGCAGAAATGAAAAGAAACAACCTGAAAACGCTTGGGATCAGTGAAACACATTGGACACAGGTTGAAGAACAAAGACTAGCTTAAGGAGAGGTGCTCCTATACTCCGGCCATAAAAGAGAAAATGCCTGAGATACATAAGGATTTGCAATATTGCTATCCAAAAAAGCACAAAAAGCACTTATAGGGCGCGAATCTTGTGGGCCGAAGATCGTCAAAACCTTTTTCAAAACAAAGCAACAGGGCATTACAATAAATATCATTCAGCACTATGACCCTACTAATTATAACACTGATGATGATAAAGATCAACTCTATGAGGGGCTGCAGTCATTCGTCGCGAAAAGCCCAACAAAGGATTCGACCAATCTGATCGAAGACCTGGACGGCAAGGTTGGAATGAACAACCCTGGATATGAAGATGTCATGGGACGACGTGGACTTGAAAGAAGGAATGAAAACGGTGCGATGTTCGCGAATCTATGTGTATTCAAGATACTGGTTAGGCGAAACTTTATTTGCGCATAAACGCGTACAAAAAGTCACATGGATTTCGTCAAATCACACTTCACATCACATCTGCATCAATTGCGTCTCTGTGCTAATGTGGCATGGAAACCTTAACTGATGTACGTACGCAATAAGTTCTATGTTGTAATTGACGGACTGACTGAATTAAAAGTTCAGAAGAGCAAGGAAGGGTGTAAGAACTAAGAGAGCAGTTGATTTAGCTTCAGTGCACCACTCGATCAAGATGAAACTGAAACTCAAGAAGCACTGAACAACAGGAGGGAGAAAATCACAGAAGTTTGTTACGCCCTTTTTTCGGTATAATGGTAGTAAACTCAAAGAACAGAAGGTTTGTCTCATGATTCGTTCATTGGCAGCTGGGGATAGTTCAATACACCCCAATTCATTCTCAATCTGGACGTGAATACTTCATCTGCAACATACTATTTAGGCATCAGAGCAGTGAAGTAAATTTTTACGGTAAAACGTACGTGATTCCAGACAAACTATAAGCGTTCAAGAATTGAATAACTTGTACCCTGCAGAGGCATTAACGATCCATCATTTCAAACTTGATAGCTGTCTGCAAAATAGACAAATGCGAGAAGTCATTCTTGCTTGGCCTTAACATTTTATTTTCACTCACGGTGTTTTATCTTATTACGTCATTCTAAGGTTTTGAATTTTCTCAATTTTAATTATTAGTTAACATCACCTTTATATTTTTAGTTTGTTCTTCACCCTTTTCATACTTATGAAGTGAACAATTATCCTTTTCATATTTGATTTCATCTTATCAATCTTCAATTCTTGATTGTTAGGCATTTCTCTCAGATACATGACATAACATAGTCCTCCTCCTTTCTTTTGAAAGACTATTTAAATTGAAAAGTGACTATAAATAAATTGTGCAGCTAAAGTAAATTCAAAGAAAATTTTCTTTACTAAATTGTCTTACTTCTTTTTCAACGCCTGCATTGGTTACTCTCTCTATTTAATAATAGCTTGGTTGCTCAATGTCAGGCTGTTTACAGAGTAAATAGATACCTATTTGAGAGCTAAATATAGCTAGCAAAGACCAGTGGCTGGTATTCATAATAAATCATTTACTTCTAAGTACCTCATGAAACTCCATCACCAAAGCTTCCACCCCAGTACTGTTGAGCCCACATGGCTTGTTCCAGCATTTGAACAAACAGAATAACCTATTCTTCTCAAGTGATTATTCACGCATCTTTTGACCTTGTCATCGATTATTCGTTTATAACCTTGGTTGTTTTTACTTAAGTGCATATGTCGATTGCTTACTTTGCTTATCACGTGTCTCACTTAGTCATACCTCATCACATCGAGTTAGCCTACTAGCCTTACCGCTTCACTTCAATTCGCTTTTACACTTCTCCTCATTGTTTGTCTGCTTACATGAATGTATGGAATAAATTTATCCAAATAAAACCACATTAGGCTTCTCATTACCTTATTAGCGATATCAGTAGTTCATCCGTGATGGAGTCAAATTACGGGCCACTAAAAATGATGTGAAAATCATGACGAATCATATGTTTACCGTTAATTAATTTATATCTGGATTAAACAAATAAAATTTCATAAAACTTCTTACTTCACATTCAATATTAAGATTAGTCTCGCCTGGTGAAGAATGTGGGAAAACACACTGATTTCCCTTACAGTACTCTGCATTTAATGGCTCATGATGCTAAAATAATAACCATATGAAATAATAATGGAAATTTTAAATCATGAACTGCAAAATTTTGTTAAGTATTTTCAAAAAATAAAATAATCAAATAACTAAGTATTTTTGATTAGTTTTTCAGTAACAGTTAGCAGTACTTCACGATGAACAGTTTATATACTGTACGCTAAATAGACAATGTTTTATCTACTTTTGTTTTAATACTTCTACTATCAGTAGATCACTAATCACTCCATTGTGCTTTCACCACTCATATGGAAGATATAGAGTTCGTACTGAAGCTTTTCTGGTCCTGCTTGAAATGAGAACATTAGGAAATCAGTTTGAATTTTTGTTATTGCTTAAAAAATTTGTCAGAATGGAAATATTCAATGATTAGCAGTCTTTCATAAAACATCAGTATGTATTTATCGCTATTAGTGTTAATTTACAAGGTAAATACAACAGATTACAGTGAGCATATATATATATATATGACAGAGTGAATTACAATTTCAAATTAAGTATTCGTTTTCACAAAGACTCGAGAATACTTGTTGATGGGTAGTAGGAATTCTAAATTATGTTTTTAAAGTATTTTCTTTATGACCTACAAATATTCATCCACGAAACGCTGCGAAACATTCCTGCAATTCATAAAAATCCTCAAAGTACGTTTCTTTCATATTCTTTTCATACTATAACCTCTAAAATTATTTTTATATAAACGCAAGAAACTAAGTTGATATACACATGGTTCACAGTCATAATAAGGCAGTTGATACAAACTTAATTTCCTATTTTGTTTACACTTAACACAAGAATCTTGCTAGCTAGAATTAAACAAAATAACCAAACTCAACCATATTATCAAGAATGTTTTTAGTGTAAGTATTGCTCTGTGTTCAATCAAATGATAATCAATTGAAAATAAGACATAATTTATTATTTTCAAAAAATTCAACATCTCAATGACAGTTCGTTTACTGTTTCGTAGAAAAACTTATTAGTGCTTAGATTTAGCAGATTGCATGATTCCTTTTGGCTACCTCTCGATTAAAATTATTCATTTATTTAACAAGTCATTCTAAAAAAATATTAGAATTGCGAATATGTGAATGGAATCCACTGATGAGAGAATCACCTCTCCGATCCCGTCAGAAAAATGTAACTAACAGAATGATAAATACAGTATCATTTAAAAAGGTTATTAAAAATCTTGTTTTCAGTTTACCTTACGATCTTCGTCGAATGTAACCTCATTATCTGAAATAAAATTATACATTTGTTCTTTTGTCCATTTTAACTGACGTCCAACAAAATATGTTTGTAATGTATTTAAAGTACTGGTTAATACTGATAGGAAAACCATTTCATCTTGGAAACTTGTCCAATAATTGGCAAGTTGTAGGAATCCAGGCTAATGTTTAAAAAGATATGAATTTATTATGCATTACAAACAGTTTTTGGAGTAAACAGTTTGGCTATTATATAAATATATATATATATATATATATATATATATATATATATATATATATATATATATATATATATATATATATAATGTAATTATATAATCGATAAAATCAATTGAACGAATAGCTTACATAAACTTCGTTACTTGGTACAGCTGGACGATCACTTATTACAGTATGCAACTTTTTCATTAGACTTTGAAAGCTATCAACTATTTTTTCTATGCTTGCCAACATTTCATTAAGCTCGCTTTCAATAATTCTCAGAAAATTTCCGTATTGTCTAGCATTGACTACAGCAGCCCGTAAATAGTCCGGTGTAATCTCCATATCTTTAGCAGTGCTTATTAAAGCACTAACTTCGGGCGTCGGATCAATAGTAGATAATTTCAAGAAAAGACCTTTCAAAGGAAAAATAGAAATATACACGCACTTAAACATAGACTGAAATAACTGGACTGTTAAGTATTGCATAGATTGTTGATTATAACAATTAAATTATTCTAATACTCACAAATTTAAATATTGTTATTTGGAAGCCAAGTTGTTAATGAACTAATAACTGATTTTGTATTTCAATGAATTTCGATACACTAGACAAACTCTTATAATCAATTTATTTCGGTACTGTAGCGTATGGCTTTTAGGGATAAAAGAAAACTATCAATTTATACAATTAAAAGCTGGAATGATAAATTTTTATGATGCTCTTCAAAAAGCATTGATTTTCAGATTGGGTATTTGATCAATAGCAATTGTTTAAAGTCACTAGTCAGTACTATATTCACAATAATCCAACATTATTATTTAGTTGGTGAAGTCATGTTAGATTAGGAGTTTGAGCAAATATTTCACTTATGTCGTTCTGGTTCCAAAAGATTGTAATTTGGTTATCTTTAAATGATGATGCAGCACGAAATGTATAAAACCTGTACATAGTAAGCGTGTATTGTTACTTTATAGCTAGCAAAATGAGTGTTTAGTTTAAAGACTGCTCACTCTGAACCGCTACTGTATTGTTCTGTGAACACAATTGATCATATGACTACGAAACATTGAGGTTTAACTTTGGAAGAACAGTTTACGGTGGAACCTGTTACAATATATCTTTGGACTAAATGAAATTCCAAGAGAAAAAGCATTAAAAAACATTTCGTTTATAACTTATTTCCATTAGTAATACTCTAAAGCGAGATCGACAGTCCAACCCACTTACGATAGTGTTCTGCAGCACATCACGTCAACTCTCTCTGACTTTATGTAACTATACCTTGCTTATTCACCAACCATAATCTTCTATGTTCATCATAAACAATATTGGATTCGCTGACTCCCTTTCCTTTTCCTCAAGTTAGTGTTCAGTATGTTTTTCTATGTCGCTCCTTCTCCTGTCTAATAGACTTATAATTTCTGAATTTTTTTGGCTAATGAGAGTTTTAATTTGTATTTTAGAAACAGATGAAGTTTAGCAAGCGAAATAGCTTACTTGTTCTAACTTTGGTCAAGCTAAGACTATGTCCGATGGTCTAGAGTTTAGATTAGAATTTTCTCTGTAGGTAACTACTTCCAACACTACTTTCCTATGAATTTTGTTACATCCGTTTATATGGCTGTCACATCTCATCGATGCCCGAATAATGCACGTAGCTGAGATCAGTGTACATATATGAAAATAAATAGTTGAATGATTCTACATGAAATTGAGTGAGAAATAATCACTTTGGATAGATTATCGTATAAATTCGTCCGATTTAAATTCATCATTCTCTGTATATAGGAATATGATACGAAGGACAGAAGAAAAAAATTAAAGCCATATCTCAACTTTATTGGCTTCCTGATAACCTATGAAACTCTAACGTACTAATGACTTATATCGTAACTTTTCTCCTTGTTCTTTTGTATGTAAGCAAGTTCATTTGTTACAGAATGAAACCTATTCTTTCAGCCATTTGCATCATTTAATTTGAGGACTTAGACCAAAAAATCGATCGTTTGAGACATAATCAATTAGATAGGCAAACCTATTGCTCATCATTCTATTCATTGTTTCTACTACATAAAACATTCTTTATTATCAATATTCAAGATATTTAACAAGTTACTTATTGTATACAATCAAAAACAAAATTCTAAATCTCAAGAATATGTTATTCATCAAAAATAATAAACATTTTAAACATCATTTACATGTGACACATACTTGTGTAAATAGCAGCCAGTTCATTGGATTTTCCAATTTCTTCACCAACTGTTTTTAGTGTTATAGGCACTCCTTCACTTAATAAATGTGGGACTGAACACAAGAAATAAAAGAAGTATACATTTATTAATCATTTAGCAAAATATTCCCTCACTATTATATAAATGAAACAATCTAGTTTTGGATGGTTTCAAGAATTATATGAAATAATTGCTTTTGATGTATTTGGTGATGTTGTTTTTTTTGCTAGAAATTGTCTTTACATTAAACACATCTCTGAAAAATGGTTGAGCTAAATAGCGATTATACTTGTATATTATTTCGTGTACTGATGAATTCTTTTTTGTTACTATGAGATGTGGCTTTTCTTAAGAATTATAAACGCTTTTCATAACATAAGTCTTATAATTAATATCAATGCTGTTTCTCTATTTAATCTTATATTATTATCTTACAGATAGAAGTAATGCTTTTCTACTTTTGGAAATATATGTAGGCGAGTATTTGAGATATTAACAACAATTCAAGTAGCATTACTGTCTTATAAATTGTATAATACTATCAAGCAAATGTTTAAAGTTTTAAGAAATCAAATATGATAGAATTAAATTAAAAAGATAATGTCAAGTGATCATTCAAAACTATATCTGAATTCGTGATTATTAAAGATCAAGTTTACTTATTAGTTATTTCAGATGGAAAAAAAACTTTGATGTAGAGTGAATAGTAATAGTAACATTTTATGCAATTTTTTAACGTCAGTATACTGACCACTAATCTCAACTTCACAACAATAAATTTGAATAAAATAACAAAATGAAATTTTCGTCAAAGGTCACGCCAACCTACGATCATCAATTCCAGCTCCTCCTTTATTACAGTCTTTGTTATATAGACGTATACCAGTGACTAGACCAGTAAATTCATATAATTGTTTTCTTTTTTGATTAGCACTAGCTGCTAAGAAGCTTGCAATATCTGTCTGTGGAAAGATACTTTGAAGTGCAGCTGATAAAGAGGAGAATAGAAGAATGTAAAATATAATATTTGAAATTGATATACTAGTTGAAATAAAATATCCAGGTAAAAACTAAATGAATTTCATGTCTATTTAACACATACACCCCAACTCATGATTTTTATATTCATTAAAAGAAATAACAGTAAAGCTAATAATTTTATTTCATCTTTTCGTTTTTAGATCGACTTCTATGTATAAAGCCGACTAAATGTATTAGACAAAAAGTCTTGCAGTTAAACTCTATGCTTCCTGTCAATGATTCTGAAATTCATTTCAAACTCCAATTTTTTCTCAAAAGGAGTACTTTACTTGTAATACATCTAGCTACGTATACATATGACAATAGTCTTAAATGTCCAATCATTAGAACTTGATACTGTTTCAGTAGTGACTAAAATTAAACCCTAATTTGTACTCCAGAATATTTGGTATTTTAATTTCCAAATGTATACAATACTGCTATAAGTTCATGTCAAAACAACCACTCAACATGTTCAGAGACAGTCATTGATCAGAAGTACAAAGAACCAGTAACTATAACTTCATGAATATTTCGGATAAAAATCATTCAGTGTAACAAACAAAGAACAACTGAAACTTTGAAATTCTCTCGCCAATTACCTAATATTTACGTAAGATATCTACTTCAATAGAATGCTATGTCACACGGATATTCGATTTACTGAGAAACTAGATACAGCTGAATAATTCCACCATCGAATGAAGTTAGTTTCAGTCTCTTCAGGCACTAGAAACCTGTTTTTACCATATCAACCACTTTACTTTATAGCCACAACACCTAATTGAACATTCAAGCTTGAACCACTGTTTTAGAATTTGCTAGTAAAATATTTGAAATAACCGTCCTAACAATATTTTCACCTCAGTTCTTGATCACTTAGATCAATCTGAAAACTTCCGCCAATTAGGACAGGTACATGGTTTCCGTTTTGTGGATGCATGTTTTTTATTGAAGGAGAAATAAAAATTGTCAATCTGAGAGGTGTAGCATCTTGAATCACTTAACAGCACTCCCACAGAAGTTGTGATCTGATCGAGTCATTAGTTTGACAACATCAAGATACATAGTGTATAACTGCAGTCTATTTTCGTTATCGTTAAACACTCTATTAACAAATACAAATGCGATTTTTTACCTCAGGACAAAACATGCAATGGTCTTTCGATAGGTTTTTTCGATAAAAAAGGACCTAAAGTAGGAGAATGTCAGGTTAATAAAGGTTCTTTGTGTATATACGATTGGTTTTTGTCAGTTTATCGAGAAGCAAAGTGATGTCACTCAGACTCAGCTACTTTTACCGGGTTTGTAAGATCCTTGGAGAGCTAATTAGTATCCTGTAGACCATCTCACAAAAATGAAGTTGGCACATTGCACTCGCCAAATATTCTTCCAAAATATTTGGTATTTTGGATGAAATGCATCTTCTCATCTCTGCTTGAAACCGAAATTTTTCTTTCGATCTAATTTGCGCTAGTGTTTGATTTGTAAACGGAATACATCCGTTGCGATATAAAACAAGAAAGATTGGCTCAAAAAAGAGTTACCTTTTCGCCAAATTTGTTTTCAAAGCCATAAAATCGCAAATATATACTTTTTCGCATATGACACATGTGCCTCACTACTACCATGCTTAGAAAAATTTTATTCTTTGTCATTGTAATTACCATCTCATGAAAAAACTACCTATGATTGTATAGCTTTGAGTTCACCGAAAAGATAACTCTTCGTTGAACCAATCTTTCTTGGTGTTTGATATAACAGTGCAAAAATAATTATCTAATAACACCCAAAACCTTACCTGGAAGACTCCCAAGATTTTATAACTTGATAGCTGAAAAGCTTCATTATTAACATAATGAGATCAAATGACTAGATTTACTATGACAATTAACAATGTCATTCAGGTCGTTTAGTTCTTTGTCTATTTAACTTTTATTCACTTTGTGATGATACGAACCATGTCAAGCTTAATCATGAACATTTGTATTAGGTCGTAGGCTGTCTATGACCAACTGGCTTAAGTACATTATATAGCTCGATAATAAGATCGTCGAAGAGAGATCTCTTCTCTGCATTTCTAGCTTTGAAAATTTTGCCAAACTGGTCATGTTACTTGAGTGGCGTGGATTTTCCAATTACTGCAATGGTCTGTATAGAGCCTATCCTCATATATTTGTGGATTAGCATGTGACTGATCTGTGATTTCGTTACATACCTCATTTATGAATAAGATGAGATGAATCACTTGATATAAAGTTTCGATACTAAATTTCGTATGCTGAGATTAAAAACAGAGTTTTGTTTTAGACAAACTATTGGTTTTTAGTTTGAAAGAAAGAACCAACTCCTTTCACTTACCTGTAGTTTCTTTGATAACTTCCATGTTCGTTGGAGATCCAAGACCTGATCTTAATAATATAGCTGATATAATATTTTGATAAGCAGCTTCTAGTTCTTCCCGTAATTTTGCTCTACTCTCCATAACTTCACGTAACACAGGTTCCAAACGCTTTTCTAATACGCGATGATGCTCGTTTAGGAATTCGTCTAGGAATTATTAGACACTTTATCAGAATAATTTAAGCAAGAGTGCACATACATAAATACTCCTACTGTTTGTACAATACACCAGCAGCGCTGAAACAAACTTGCCGTTTAGTTTAGTTGTTTATTTCAACATTTCATTTTTACTTGAATTACTACTTGCTGATCAATTAAAGTGACCACTCTTACTATAGATGAAAATGCAACGAACTAAGTCTAGACGGACAGTATTCATTATTCGAATCCTAATTGTGAAAATAGACAAACTTCTTATCATTAAGAGATTACATTAAGATGCCGTTAGGAGCTATATGAAATTATTATCATCGTCTTCACTTATATTTCAGTTTTTATGTAATGAAGCAATAACTATTAGAAACAACATTTCGATATTAATGCAGAGACATACTTCCAAGATGAAGGCTTCAAAAAAAATTGATACCTGAATATACAATCCGTAGTTTTATGGTGCTGTGTAGGTTATAAAAAAACTCGTCAAACATATTTTGCGTCGGTGTTTTTATCCTTTAAATACAATGTATCCTTCAAAACTTCCGTTACTATTTGTAAAGCATTTTTTTTGTAAATTAAATTATTGCTCTTTCGGTGGTAGCAACTTACGTGAATCGCTTATTCCTCAAATTCATCTTACTTTGTTACAAACTTCCCACTAATTAACGCCTATAACAGCCCAAGCTTTCAACTAACCTTTTTAGTATTTCTATGTTATGGCTTGCCCATCTTCGAAGGGACATATATCCAATAAGTAACCAGAATTACTTTATTTAAAATACTAGTCTTAGAAATCTGCTGTCTCTGGAACTCAAAAGTTCGGATTATTCAGGTTTCGACTTTTTTGGAAGTTTACTCTTGTTTCACAAATAAGTCATGGTTTTTTCATGCTATCGTTTCTTCTGCTTTCATACAGTCCATCAACAGGCAAAGAGATAGTCACGATAGTATTTTACTTTATTGTCTAATTTTCATTATAGTCAATATATATTTGCAAACGGATTGCATCTACAAATTACTACTGAAAAGTTAAATGTTCACAACTTAAAAAACTAAGGGGATGAGCAAATAACATTTCCTTTATTTTGCTGTCATATTAAAAATAATATTTCACCAAATCCCACAAATAAAAACCCCTATCACAGGAACAAAATCTTCTGTCAAATTACTTTTCTTAAGATGATTTAATTCGAAGAAAATCTGCATTTTTATCGTGTCGATGGATGGTGACCGTTGGTTAGTTATTCTGTTGACACATAGCTATATCAAAAGATGAATAGTAGATTTATTTACTTCAATCAACTTCTTTATGTCTTCATTTCCAAGTGGTTTATCAGGTAGAAATCCTGATTCAGGATCAAGAACAACTGCTTTAACCTAGAAAAGTTACTTGGTGGTTTAAATTCATTCACTTATTACAATAAATGCCACAAGGGTCTCAGAAACTTCATGTCCTCTTAAAATACACTGCTGAACTATTTCTTTAACAATCCTAGTAATGACACTTTCAGCTTGGACACTTGTCATCGACGCTACTTAAATAATCTCACGTAAGCAAGCACCATAGCAGTTGTAGAGTTAAACAACTGTAGCAAATTAATTTTAGGTTTGGACAGAAAGATCAGTGGTTTATACTGGTCATAGCAAAAGGTGTATCGTAGCTAATATAACTTTTTTAGAGCAGGAGGGATTTCAGCCAAATAATAAGGTAAACAGTCCAATATCCAATATATTTTTCATCTGCTAGTACAAACCAAATGATTTCTTCTTAAAGCTATCCACTGGAGGGGCTGCTGTCACCTCGGATGGATGGGCATTCCAAGTTCCAACGACTCTTGATGAGAAAAAGTGTGGGAGAACTTGAGTGTTTGCTCATGCATACGCAATGTTTCGAGGATTGCATCTAGGGTAGTGGTGGTGATGCATCAGTATGGTGCTCATGTTGGGATGGTTAAGCGTGCCTAATATGTTGTACGCCATTACCACATTACCTTTGATTCCCCTTGTAACTCAGGGGGAATTATCCTAAGTTCTGGAGTCTATCTTCGTATGTTTTATTTTTCAACCCTATCACCCATTTCGTTGCTCGTCCCTGCACTCGATCCAAGAGATTTATGTTCCTTTTAACGAGAGGGGGTTCTAAGAAGTGTTGAACCCCAAGGCGCAGACGTTATGAATAGTTCTGGGGCGAAAGCACCAAGTTATCTTCGCATAAAGTAAAAAGTCGCATTTGCCTTGGCTTTGTCTTCTATATATCTCCAGCTGGTGTGGAGGCTTTCACAGGTTATCAAACCGAGATCGCGCTCTGAGGAGACATTAGGGAGCGGACTTTCATTGAGGGTATAGGTCATTTGCGTCATATGAGGCGGAATATGCATAGTATGCCACTTCGGTTGGTTGAGTTTTCAACCGTTTTTCACTGCCCATTCCTCAATAAATGTAACATACTTTTGAAGCTCAGTCGAATCCTCCTCGCTTCTAATGGACCTCCAGACCTTCGTGTCGTCTGCGTAGATCAATGCCGGTGAGCTAACTGAGCCCAACTGGTCGTTAATAAATATCAGGAAGAGAAGTGGGCCTATGATGGTCCCCTGTGAAACGATGTTGAAACTCGCCAACTTGCATACACTCTATTTACTTTGGTACGAAACTTTCTATTTTTAAGTTAGTTTCTCAGCCAAGATAGGAGTGTGCCAGTGACGCCCTTTCCCGCAACCTTCGTAATAAGGTGTGCGTGAGGTACTCTGTCGGAACCTTTTGCGAAGTTCAGAAATGTTATGTGAACAGGTAATGTTTGGTCCGAGAAGGATGTCCAATTGTCCCATGTTTTGAGAAGATTAGACGCACACAATCTGCCGTTCCGAAACCCTTGTTGAGTTTCATGGAGTATTTTGTTCCTATCCATGTACTCCCTCATCTGTTCGTGTGCCAGCCATTTGATAATATTGATAGTAATGCGACTGGTCTGTAACATACTGAGTATTTCCTATTACCTACTTTGAAGATGGGAAAGAGAGTAGCATGTTTCCATTCAGCTGGGAGTTCGTGTGACTCCAGTGAATGTTTGAACAGGTCACATATCAGTGATTAGAGCACTTCTGCACATTGTTTCAAGACTATTGGGCGAATTTTGTCACAACCTGGTGACTTGCCTGAGAGTAAAGATATTTGTTTCCTCAGTACTAAGTCAGGAGTAATATGGATATCCTCTAAGCCACTAGATGGAAATAACTCCGCCTGTAAACCCTTCTAGGCTACTGCCGGTCCCAAGCCCGGATAAAAGAGGAGGGGGTTGGACTTGGGGTTGGCGCCTCCATCCCAACTATAAACTAGCTTGCCAAAAAAATGGTTACCAGAACAAATAATTCAAACAATTTTAACTCTGCCCTGGGAGTTGGAAGAGAAATTATTACGTCCCGTGATGAAAGCCGAGTTCCCTCGTAAGTCACGAGGTCGATGCCTCTTCTGACCACAAGAGCAACCATTATTTTAGGTACATTGAACTTTCGTATATTGTGGAAGACTGGAAGACAATTCAGTGTGCTGTAGAAAAGAGAAGATAAAACCTGGAGGTGCTCAGCATCAGTGAAACACATGGATTTCAACGGACCACACTACGCAAAACCAAATTGACCACATATGTATTAACAAAAAGTTCAGAAGGACTATGGAGGATGTGAGAACCAAGAGAGGAGCTGATATAGCCTCCGATCACCACTTTCTGTTCGCTAAAATTAAACTGAAACTCATGAAACACTGAACACCAGAGCAGACAACATCACACAAGTTTAATACAGCCTTTGGTCGAGATACCGTAAAACTCAACGAATTCATGAAAGCCCTCAGCAAAACGTTCCAGGCCTTACATGACATACTCAATGAGGAGGAAGCAACATTGCTGAAAAATTGGAAAGGGATCAAAGAGGCAATTACTTCAACATGTCACGAAGTTCTGGGTGACAAGAAGTATCATCACAAGTATTGGATGTCCGTTGGTACTCTTGCGAAAATTGAAGAAAGGAGGAACAAGAGGGCAGTAATCAATGTCAGCCGAACAAGAGCAAAGAAAGTTAGGGCACAAGCTGAATACACAGAAGCAAACAGGTGAGCGCAGAAGAGCATCAGAGTCGACAAACGAAAATAAATGGAAGATCTAACAATGACGGCGGAAAAGGCTGCAAGAGACGGAAACTTGAGACAATTGTACGAAACAAAAAAGGAGCTCGCCGGAAACTATCGTAAAAAAGAACGACCAGTGAAAAGCAAGGAAGGCAAAGTAATCAGCAACACTGAAGAACAGCAAAACAGGTGGGTAGAGAACTTTCAGGAACTCTTGAATCGACCAGCCCTACTGAACGTATCCGACATCGAAGCAGCATCTACGGACCTCCCAAATGATGTTGGGGCACCTATAAAGTTATAATTACTCTTGCAGTTCGCTCCAACTCGCAAACTGCAGGTTCATACGTGTCTCACCCAGTCCAGGGAGAAAACGGTTCTATTTTGATTAATGAGGGAAATACAGACAATTACCAAAAACAGTATTCCACCTTCGAGTTTCCAATAACCGCAATAGGTTCCGTTGCTGGAAGAATAAGTGCTTCCAGCCAGTTACTGCTAGAGTATCAAATCCAAAAATAGCTGTAGCCATATTAAATATCAAATTTAAACAACATATGTACAGTTCAGAAGGAAACATAAAAACTTCAGTATAAGTACAAGATATAGAAATAATAACAATATACAATGAAAAAATCTCAAAATGGAACCAAATAGAGTACCAAAATATCAAACAGAAGAGTCACTCATATCATAACACAATTAAGTGTACATGAAGGGATTTTCCAAAAACAAAACCTTCAAATTAGATTCTAAGGCACCTACAGTTGAAGAGATCAGTATGGCCATCAGACAAATCAAAAGCGGCAAATCAGCAGGACCGGACGACATTCCACCTGAGGCAATGAAAGCAGACGTGGAAGCAACTGAAAAAATAAAGTTTGTGTTGAAGATCTCAGCCATCTGCTGGTTGGTGAAGTTTTCCCCACTTGGACCTTTGATGGAACATAAACATTGATTCGTGGGTCCTATTCATGTCATGAAGCTAAATAAATCTTTGGGTTTGCCTTTACTTTGATGGATAGATTCATCTGAAAGCGTTTCCTATCACCCTAAACTATGGTTTTGCATCTGTTTCTTATTTACAAGTAATAACTACTATCGGAGTCCTTCAACGAGACCTTTCGCTTGTGCCAGGCTCTCTTCACCTGGAGCAAGCATTCAGTGCCGAGTCCAAAACATGTTCTTCTAGTTCCAGATCTGTGGAGTTACTGAGGCACATTGTCTAGGCCAGCATTCTGCATCATGTCTCTCACTGTTTGTCAGTGATCATCTACTGTAAGCCTTCACCATTCACGAGGCCATGGGGCAAGTAGAGGGTTCTCTCTCATGTGCGTGTAGTTGAGCCTAGTATGGCAAAGCTTGGGCTCGCTTTCGTCCCGCTTTTGTGTTAAATAAGCTAAATACTATATCCAAGTGATACAAAGACCTTGACAATATCTATTTGGTAATTTTATAATACAAGTGGATTACCCGACCGTAGCTGCTACTTTGATGTGGTGGTCGAGCTTGCCTATCGTAAGGACCCAAACGAGCTATATTGGCTGGAACACATGTTCCTGAAGGTTCTACCATGCCAGGCAGGTCGATTGGAGAACGATGAGACTAAAAGCAGCTACTCAAGTTCTGAGGGCGAAGTCGTACTGCTGATTGCTGAGGGGTGTGACAGCAGTAAGGTGTTTCCCTCGGACAAACAGCATCTGCAGCGATGCTGCCTTCTTACAAGGAAGGAACGGGTTAGAAAAGGTCGACCCTAAAAATGTCACACCTCACCCTACCTCACGGATTTTCGTCTCCGTCGGTAAGGGTGCCCACTAAGGGCTTTCAAGAGCGGAGCTGGCACTCAAAAAACTTCTCATAAAAAGGCTGTGAGTGACCGGCCTGAAGCAGTTGTTCCTTGGACTCTGCACTCACGCACCCAGGTCTCTAAAACCAACGCTAATATACCTTCCTTTCAAGTTCCTCAAGAAACAACCTTCCAAGGTTTGGGCATCCGGGAAGTGACAACCGCCCTCATACCCTTAACAGCACGCGAGACCGAGTCGCTGATAATCAAATCCTTCCTACACCCCGTAACATCTCTCTTATTTCCACGACTCACCATATTCACATTCCTTTATCTTACTGCACCGCTAATGCAAACAGTGCGAGTACACGAAACGCTATTCCTGGACTCCTAAATCACCGTTCTAGATTACATGTAGGAGCCGTTAGTGTACAGACATTGTGTTAAGTAGGGCAACAGGCTTCCTTAGCCAGGACATTAGAATCTCGTGACATCGATGTATTTCGCGTCTCGGAAATGCGCATACAGGATCCTAGTAAAATCATTAATTTGATTTCATCTTGATATATTCATCGTTTATCTGGTAGCCCTGATTCTACTTTCCATGGCATCACTGGCGTATGTATAGCATTGGTCGTAGGGCAGAACTACCTCTGC